TGCTTGGAGAAAAAACAACAAAAAAAAAAACCACACTTCTTGTTTGTTTTGTGATAAAACAGTAGATTTTACAATAAGGAGCAAAGATGTTGCCGTCTACAAAGAGCTAAATCCCACCATATGTTACTTCTGGGTTATATTAAATCCAATAGCAGCTCAGATGTGTCCAGTGTCCCCCTTTTTCCTGGCACTGACATGTGATGTGTTGCAGTACTGCCCGCTGAAGGACACAGATTTAAGATGTGATGAGAGATTTAAAGCTCCTCAGGAGCCACGTAGGAGAAATGTCAGGCACCGTGTGCTTGGCCAAACTCAAGGAGGATGCATAATACTGCTCTGTTGGTTGTTGACCTCGCGTGTCCACTGGGAAAACATTAAATGTGCATAAGAGTAAACACGTCCTCTCACACGATAATAATCACTGAAGAGGTTGAAGAGAGAGAGAGAAAAAAAAAGAAAAAAGAAAAAGCTTGCGACCTTTTGGAAAATGTCAAATCGCGAGGGGACTTGGTAATAGAAAATGAAGCCGGAAAGACATCCCAGAGGTTTGGAGGACACAGAGTAGTGGGAGACATGCAACTCCAGTTAGTTAGCAACTGAATGTAATATTTATTCATTTTAGAAATGTATTATTTTGCTTTTCAAGTCACACATGAAGATATGCTTCTGCCTCTGCTAGATTACTGAAGAACAGAAGCTGAGAGGATAAGTCGCTCATATGGCTGATCATTAATCCAGTCCATTGGATCATGTTGTCTGTTTCATGTACGTATTTTTTGTTAGACTGATTTAATCGAAGCTGGTTGTGTTTTGAGTGGGATTTAAAAACACTTCACAATTTTTTTTCTTATTGAAAATAATTTGAACAACTTACGCTCACATGTAACTGTGTCATAAAATATAAAGAACATTTCTGTTGTTTCATAACTGTAAAATCACAATCACGATAGTAGATTAATAACTGTTCTAAAATCAATCATTCTCAAATTATAAATGGGTGTGTGTACATTAAACAACATTTTCAAAATGTATTTTTTTTTCAGACTGAAGTTGATTATTATTTTTTATCTTAAAAGATGTGGCTGTTGTAAACTACATTATGATGATTATTATTAAAACATGTTATTCACCATATTTCTCCTTGAAATACAATAGCGTACGGCGAGGCTTTCAAATGTCCAGATCTTGACACTTTACAACAATCAGCTTAATTTCATTTTACAGTATTTTAGGAGATTGACCAATGTCGTTCATAGCTGTTAAGTGAAAACAAAATGATACAGGTATGCCGGGGCAATTGTGCTTATTCAACATGGCATAGGCAAATTAAAAAAAGAAAGTTCAACCAGGCAGTTAAAATCAGAGTTTCCACTCTACAGGACGGTGTAGTAGAGGGTTGTGGAGGAATGCATAAATAAGAAATGGTAAAAAAATTTAAGCTGTACTTGCTTTTTTATGGAAGCTAAACTCGAAGGCCACACACACACACACACACACACACACACACATTTACATCCGTGCAGAAAGTGTCAGCAATGCACATTGTCCACAGCTAATATGACACACAGGTTGATTTGAAAAACCCCCACAGTTAAATGTCAGCGTGACAGATTCATGTTTTCTTCACGACTCCACATGGGGCTTCCTTCACCTAACACACTGGCGTCTGCAGGGCAGTATTCTCAGTCTATCATATTTCTCACTGAACAAGATGAATAATTGCTCTGAGAATTAGAGGTCTCCCCTGCTGGTTTGTTTAATTTAAATTCTTCCATCCATCATTTAATCATCGGCTTCTGGTGCTTTCAGTCATCCTGCCAGCTTAGCCAGACTATAAATTACCTTGTTGCTAAAAACAGTAGCCTTGTCTGTGGTTAGAAAATTGCATGTCTGTCTTCAGTCTCCAATAGTTATCTGTTGCATTAACCTGTCATTCAGTCACCAAGACTCAGCGTTCTTTAGTGATTAGTGTTAGATGGGTTCAGGGATTGCATGTTAAATTCAATTTGATTGTACAAAATTTCATCTTAGGAAGTCAAGTTTATCACTTTTGTCACGAATGTTGTCTTGAGAGAACCATCATGATTTTGCAGTAGTTCTGAATGAAAGCCAAATGAGGGGTTATATTGGTCTTAAATCCATAAAATGAAATTTAGCAGTTACTGTAAATGTTTGTTTTGTTGTTTACTTAAACCTGCCAGAGTTGAAAGTTGCTGCTGCTGTGCCTTTGCGGTGATCTGTTAGATCTGTAGCAGAAATAACTCCTAGAGCTGCTATATGCTAAACAGACACATGAGGGCAGTATAACCTTTCACTTCAAATCATCACTGACTTCAATTCCAAAATGGGTAAAAGTATTGTTCTATGTTTATTGCAATGTTCTGGAGCCAAACAATGTTTCAGCTGCTGGTACACCGCAACGTCTCTTGTTTTTTTTTTTTTGGTTTTGTTTTTTTAAAAACTGATTTTATTTTTCTACTAATCAAATGACAAAGGCCAGCATTATGAGATGGAAAAGACTGCACTATTTTACTTTCTTTTATTCCACCAGCTATCCTTTCCAAGAGATGTATAACCAAACACTGTGCCTGAGGCTAACAGAAAGAAACTCATAATAGAGCAAAAGCATAGAGTTTACTGAGGCTTGGGTTTCTTCATTAAAAACACAGCAGCAGCTGATTTCCAGCATTAAGATGGTTCAGGTCACCAATGGATGCAGAAAATAAGCACTACTTACTTATATTTGGTGGTATGATAGAAATAAAAAGGTTTGAATCATGTGTCTGAATTCCTTATTTGCTCAATGTGGCGTTCGGAGTTCATTTTAGGTTCCTCTTCTTGATGTGTCCTGGCATTCTTCAGAGGATTAAGCTGAAGATGAAAGCGCACAGTGAACCTGAGTGGCAGGAAGTTGTGATCTGAATTTCAGATAAGCGAAATATCTAATGTTTTCCTAGGCCTGTTTCCTGTTTATTAAAGTCTCTACAAAGAAGTCTATTTTGTTTCCCCTAAAATCCTATTAGAACATGAGTTTCTAAGAGGGTAATCAAGTGGATGGTTCATTTATAAATCAATATAGTTTTTTTTTTTTCTTTTCTAAAACGTAAACCTCATCTTAAAAGCATACATTTTCTGACAAAAACATCACCCATGGCAGGAATATCCTCACACTTTACTTTTTGAGCATGTTGGCATAGAGAAAAAAAAAAAAAAAAAAAAAGACAATAGCTGAAACACAAACAAGTTTTACTTTAGGTGAGCGAATAAAAGAGCCGTTGTGCCTGTGGTGTTTTGTTACACAGCTAAAAATAAAAAAAGACACTATGCTTCCAGTCTAAACATTGTTTTCAGTGTGGTTCGCCTATTTCTGCAGGTTTAACACACATCAACCAGATGTGGAACAGGAGAGCCGTGAATAAGGGGAAGCAATAAAAATAGCTTCAGAGAGAGCTCTCGATGCAGGTGAGTGAAAGTAGCAGAGATGTTTTCGGTGAGCTTTGTCGAAACTTTTTTCCCGCTTCTCTCCAGTGCACAGAGGAGAGCTGGGTAAGACTTTCCGGTGCAGCTGAGAATTCGGAACCGTGTTTTTAATCTGAGGAGCAGTCATCCTGAAGCAGCAAGCAGACACCCAGCTCATATTTATCCCCACCAAACTGACTAAAAGACAACGGACTTCTCTGTGGATCTCTAGCAACCCCCCCCCCCCAACCTCCCCCCGACCGCTCCCACTTCCCGTCTGCATGAGTTTTGTCCCAAATGCTGCACCACATTTAGAGCAATGGAATAAATGTGTGGCGTTTTCCTTTCATTAGCTGTCTTTGAGTCTCTTAAACCCTTTTATGAGCTGTCTCATAACAAGTCATGCACTTGTATTCTCATCAGTGTGAGGGAAGCAGAAGATGGCGCGAACAGGGGGGAAGCTGCTCTGCCTCTCTTTACGTCTGTGGAAGAGCGAAGTTTTTTAATGGGCAGGTATTCAACACGATGCGGTGGCGCAAACGATCAATCCGATGTAGACATGTCACTTTGAGTAAATGGTATGTGTGGGATTGTGCAGAAACAGACATGCCAGTGTTTAAATGTAAAAAATATATATATTAGAAGTGAACTTAAAGTGATTGGATTAGTTATTCACGGCCTTTTCTCTTCCAGGCTCCAAGCAAAACTCTGAGGTGCCAAAATTGTTTAAAATGTAAAATTTGGAAGCCACAAATTGCGTTATAAAGAGTCTTTAGCGTGTGTAAAATAATCCAGTCCAGGTTTGACTGGTCAAACCATCTTAAATTTTGACTAACTGCAATCCAGATTTCTTAAAAACAAACTGTGAAACATCTAATAATCAGGTTCCTATTGATCAGAAACATATTTTAGTAATTTCCCTCTAGCAATAAAGTAAAGAAAAAATTGAAATGTGGTCAATTTAGCTCAAGAGCAAATGTTTTGCGTTTACAATTTGCACTCTAAATGTATCTTTAATTTATTTACAAGACATATATTTACAAAATATAAACACACACAAAAAAGTACTTCCTTGTTCTTTATGTCATTGAAGTAAGGTATCCCCATAAAAGACATTTATTTTCATTTTGGACTTTATGTACAAAGAAATTATGTTTAGAAAATAAATGAATCCTTTGAAAAAGTCTGTTTGAAATCCAGACTGAGAAAAAAAAAAAAATCAGAGTAAGTGAACGAGGCTAGTACTCTTTGTGTGCTGTAATTAAGGGGATGATTAAAAACATACATCGGGTTAGCTCTAATAATAATTTCAAACACAAGGTTGCTTCTCATTTGAACTCATTACTCTGTGCCCTATTCTTTGCCTAATATAGCTGGTTTTATAATAGTTACATGTGGGGTTTCACTTCTTCGCCTGAAACATGTCAGTGCTGCACCTGCGATGGCTCAGAGGGTTTATTAAAGCTGGGTCATTTTTAACTGGTAATCAAGAGAAGTGAAAATATCAGGTTTTGTTTTGAAAAAGCTTCATTTTCACCTCTTTTTTTCCAGCAAAAGTTTCAACATTTAATCTCGTGAACAGTGATTTAAAGCAGCTTACAAACAGTTGGTGTTATCAACAGTAAATGCCACATTTTTCACAGGAATTAGAAAATGGCATTAAAAGACTGTGACTCTCAAAACACCTTTGCTGAAATTCTACAACTCACTTGAAAAGCAAACATGTTGCACGTGTAAAACCACGTTAAGTCCCTAAACCAATACATGTTACAGTAGATCTGCTTTTGTAGAAGTCTATCACCATTCCACATCCTGACTTTACAATATCTACTCAGCAGAAACTCGTGCATTTCTGTCAAAATTTTCAGGCAAAATAATTCCATAGTTGATTTAGATGGATATTTCCCTGAGGGTAAATCCCAAAGGGATGAATAAAGTTTCTATCTATAGACCCTCTTTATATTGTTTACAGAAATTTGATGAAGTCCTTGAAATAAATGGAGTTTTCAATTAAATTCAAATCAAATGGGTCAATATAGTGAGTCTGTTACAATATATGTAGAAAAAGTTGTTAAATTGCTTACTATTGATCTAATTTTGTACACAACAGAACCTGAACATTTTTTTTAAATTCACTGTATTCGATGTTTTAATCTTTATTTGAGTCCTTATCTTTAGAAATGATCCGATGATTCCTCGAAACATAGTTTCTAGCATCTTCAGAACTCCTTCTGTGTGAGCATCAGAAACAAAAGCTTGAATTTTAGGATGAAAGTTTGACAGGAAATTATTCATATTTCTGTGGAAAATGAACCTTCTTTCAACCGCCATAGACAAAAAAAACCACACAAAAAAACACGACGCACACCTGAACTATGCTTGCATCGGTTCTGATTAGCCCCCTTTCACTTCCACACCGCATGTTTGGTCACGAATAATGTGAGAAGTCATCTTGCTACATGCATGTCAGTGTCATCTAAGACGTATTCGCTTGGCTACACCCGAGGGGACAGACTGATACAAAAAAAGAACAAGTGGCTGGTGCTCACATCCTGTGTATTCTGCTGGGCTTTCGCACAGCTTTGCTCTCCGACAGCGGCAGCTGTGTCTGTTTCTGCCGCATCTACAAACGTTTCTGACATTTTATTTTATTTTTTTTTTACCTTACAAAGTTTCTTTTTCTTGCCCTCAGTGGGGCAGGCCAACTTTCGTTTATGGTGCAATCTACCCACTTTCAGAGTTGTCTGTGTCGCCTTGCAAAAGTATTTTCAGGCTTTGCAATGTCACGACTGTGAATCTAATGGGGTTTTATTTGATAAATCAACACAGAGGCATGTATATAATTGCAAATGCACCTTGTTTTCTTCTTAACTAAAATGGTGCATGGTTAGGATCAGGGATTAAATATATTCCAGTGCAACCAACTGCCTTCAAATATTATTCATAAACATATGAATAGTTTTTGCAAGGCTCCGTAGCTCTGATTACTATATTGGTTTGGTCACCAGTGTCAATCAGTGGCAGAGTATGGTTACTGTGGAGCTACTGGCCTCACACAGTTAATTAAGGGACAGATAAACATCAGTTTGCAGCAAACACAAGACGTAGTAGAGTCGTCACTTTTGTCTTAGCACCGGCGTGACGCTCCAGTACTCATTTGGGTTTACCCACCCGCCCAGTGTGGGCGTCGTACAGCTCGACGAGGCATCACCGTCACTGCTCAGTGAAACCCGAAAGGCATTAAGTGAGCTTTGATCTTACCTGGAATGACCTCGAAAAGAAATTTCCCCCCTTCATCTCCGCTGGTTGGATGTTCTGAGACTTTGTTTCCAGGTAAAGAGATGACACCCTGCGGAAAACAAAGCACAGACTCATCAGCAACACTTCCCTGTTTGCCCTTGATTGCTCATTGATGAAGTCCTGCCTCCGGTCCCACTGCAGGGGTTTCAATTTTGACACCTTCAACTTGACTTGCACGAATTGAATCACGCATACTGTTTGAGTTATCCAGCTGTTTCCGTGAGTAACCGGAGTTCCTGAGCTCAGCGGCTTTCAGCTCCCATCTCACTGGAATTCGGTTTAAAAATGTACATTTCTTTCCACTTTACAGGTTGCATTGATTCTCAGTGGGCGTCCCAGGATGATCGGTTTAAGTGGTTACGGATGCGTCTCTCTGCTTCGGCTCTGTCCAAAATGATGCATCGCACAATTTAAATAACAAGAGCATCAGCAGCTTTCTGCAGCACAACTCAGTTTTGGTGACTAATGCAAATGTGGTTACCGCTGGCTTTACGCAGGAAGTTTTCTCTTTGTATTTAGAAAGCGAGTGTGTGTTTGAGAGAGGGAGTCACGTTGTTTTAAAGTCTGTACTGATATAAAGGTTGCTGGGTGTGAAATGGACACATCCAGCAACATTACATGTTCAACCAAATAGCGAATTTGAATTGCAGATTTCAAAAATGACCAAATTTGGTCTCTCTTCTTGTGACAAAGCTTGATGTTGAAGGGATTAATCTAATTAGTTATATCTGTTTCTCTCTTGCTCAAAACATGTCAGCTCCCCTTAAGTTAAATTGTTTCTTTGCTTCATTTTCATGAATCTATCAATCTCGATTTCTAATAACCACAATTATAAACAAAGTTTCACTAAAAAGTCATGCAAGGGGATACTTTAAGACAATTGTTTTATAATTTAAAAAAAACAAAACTGAATGATAAATGGTCTATTACTCAACAGTGATACCAGATCTGAGATCAGTTCAAATATATGTTTAATCTTTTGTTGCACCTGTTCCAGCTTTTATTATACCTAACAGTGGTGGTTTTTTCATAAATTTCTCTCTGGGGCAGCTCCTGCTTCTGCTATCTCACAAACAAACAAACATGCCCTGTCCTCTGATAAGGTGTAGCTACTTAAACTTACTTTGCGGCTAACAAAATGAATATATCGCATTGCTTGATACAAATAGTTCAACAGACTGGATGCTTAGAATCCATTTCTTACACACACACACACACACGCACGCACGCACAGTGAATGCTTCACAAATCAGAAAGTGTTATTCAGTCTCACATTTTTAGTTGCGTTTACTTAAATATATAAGATTTCAAACGCAGCTGTTGAGTTTATAT